GCATGCACAGATCTTAAGTGTCTAATTTAATGACACTTAAAAAATTTTTTATTCTGTTTTATTATTTTTGAGAGAGAAAGGGAGAGAGAGAATCCCAAGCAGGCTCTGTGCTATCAGTGCAGAGCTTGGCGCAGGCTCAGTCCCACGAACCGTGAGATCATGACCTGAGCTGAAATCGAGAGTCAGATGTTCAACCGACTGAGCCACACAGGTGCCCCTAGTTTAATGAATTTTTACTTATGTATATACCCATATAACCACCGCCCTGATCAAAATAATGAATTATTTCTGGCAACTCAGAAGGCCCTCAGTCAGTCTCTCTCATCAAACTACTATTACGACTTCTTTTGCCATAAATTAATTTGTCTGTTTTTGAACTTCATATAAATAGAATCTACAACAGCATGTTCTCTTTAGTGTCTCGCTTCTTTCACTTACTATAATATCATTCTCTATAACATCACTCACTATAATATCACTCACTATAATATCTCATATGTTCCTTGCCAGTCTTCTCATTTTTTAGGACCCAGCTGAAGTGTCCCTTAGAGAAGCTTTCCCTGACCATTCTGACTAGGCATACTCCCTGCCCCTTGGCCTACTTGCAAAGTACCCTCTTAGTTCCTTCACAGTATTTAACACAACTTGTGATTTCCCCCTGTTTGCGTTTACTGTCTGTCTCACAAAAGAGTAGACTTGGTGAGCATAGGGAACGTTTGGTCTGTTCATCATCCTCTTCACTGGGTCTAGCAAAAATTTGCTGGGCACAATCATAGGTATTCAATCATAAATATTTGTTGGCTTTCTGAATGAATGAGTGAACTCTGCTCTATTTTCTGACTTGTACTGAAGTTTAAAAAAAAAAGCTCTGAACCTTTCTAATTTTTAGCAAAATGTAATCTAAAGTAATTCTGATTTTAAGATTTTAAGAGAATTTTTTCTCATGGGCAAGATGGACTAATTGCCGTAGATGACTACAGAATTCTACACCTGAATAACAATTATTCACTATACTGAGAACAATCTTGAGGGAAATGTTTAGAAGTTCTGTCTTGATCTGCATTTTTACAGAGACGTAGGTGAAGGTGTTATTATTAGCACATGACACATTGACATGCTGAGTGTTTGGAGAGGCATCATGACCACCTTGGATAAGTGAGTCTGAATCTGAAGAGATCTGGAAGGGATAGAAAGATGGGTTGAATCCAGTAAGATGAAATGTGATAACGGTAAATGTAGAGTCTTGTACTAGGTTCCATAGTCAACCTCATATTAGCATAGAGAAAGGTGGAAAAGCAGGCCAGATGTGCGGTTGTGCTTACGTCTGCAGGATGCTCTTGTTGCCACGGGAAATTACTATGTTGAGCATCAGAGAAACAAAGTCATTGAGGAAGAGGAGCTTTATGGTCTTGTTCTTTCTACTCCTGCACTACATGAAATGTTTCTTTTGCCCCGATCATGTTTGTGTCACATGTCGGGTTAACATTTGGGATGGTCTGGCATCTAGATTGTCAAACTAAAGCCTTCAGGCACTTGTTTTTGTGATTAACCTTTTACTGGAACACAACCATGCCCATATGTTTACCTGTTTTCTGTGACTGCTTGCTTCAGTGGTAGTGGTAATGTGGAGTGTTTGTTACACAGACCACATGGCCTGCAGAGCCTAAAATATTTACTGTCTGATGCTTTCCGGAAAAGCTTTCCAAGCTCTGGTCTAAAGACGACCTAGATGAGAAAGAAGATTGAAAGCGTGGCAAGAGGAGCAGCAAGAGGGGCATAAGATGTTTAAGCAGGTGACGAGAAGATGTAGCTCTGACAGGGAGAGAGCGGTCTTCAGATATTTGAAGCACTGTTGTTTGGAAGAAAAAATGGACCCCTGTTCACTTAACTTTGTAAGACAAAATGAAAACAGGATAGAAAAGACGGGGCAAGGGGAGGGTTTTGTTAGTGTATAGAGGAGTTAGTTTAACATGGGTTGGGTTGCTTCTGGAAATAATGAGTGTTTTGCCCCTGAGGCATTTAAAAGGAGGCCAGATGACTGTTTTACCTAGTTGCATAGACGAGGGTCCGGCACATAAGGACTAGACATCTTCAGAACGCTTGTGATTCTGAGATTTTGCCTTGAAACGATTTTCTCAAACCCAGGCTGTGGTTCCCAAGCATTTCTCCAGAGCGCTAGCTTCATCTGGCCTTGTAGACTGGAGGTAAAGTCACAGTGAGCTTTGGCACTGGATTACTAGCCGGGCTAAGACACTCGGGTATATACCATTCCAATAGAAAATAAAATATATATTTAATAAGCATTAACAAATACCTGAATCTAGTTTCACATCTTTAAAAGTTTATGTTTTACCTATGTTTTCATGCATGGGGAGGGTCTGAATTGTCCTTTTTCCCTCCTGTTGATTCAGAAGGCAGTTTTAAGTTTGTTTATATTAAGTGATATGTGATCTTGAGGAACATGCGGGTGTGTAAGGTAGAGCACGGAGCACGGAGTGTCCTTCTGGTCTATTGTTCACTGCCTTTTGTAATCTCCTATTTCATTTTCTTGCTGTATTTGAGCTTAGCTGTGAAAGGTCCATTTAGGCAGACTGACTTTCTTGAATTTAGCTTTGCGTTCTTTTCATACTACTGGTCTCCTAAAGTCAAAACTTAGAGGCAAAACTTCAGGATTTAAAAAGAGGAGCTTCTCAGACCAAAATACTGTCATTTAAGGACCTCGTTGTAGATCTAAATTATGGAACACTGCTAAATGACACTCATTCAGCAAACATTCGAATTAAGAACATTGTACTTTGTACACCGTATCAGGTAGTCATGTGATGTCTTAAATAGTTTCCTTCTGATTTGGACTCCTTACAGCTTTTGTACTTGGCAGTAGGTGGTGGACTTGAAATTCATGGTTTCCCCGTTTATCTGACCCACTGGCTACTTCGAGGGGGTCTGGGTGCCGACTTCTGTGGAGGGGCCCGGGGTCCCTCTGTCCCTGGCGGTCTCCAGGGGCTCTTACTGGTTCCATGTCCTCAGGTACGAAGACTTAAATCCAGGCGGTCCTGTCAGTTGAGGACCCCTCATTCCATAGAAGTTCAGGTGCAGTGGTATCTATTATGTGTAAAGGCTTTGTGGCCTGTAGAGAGCTGTGCAAGTCCAAGTTTATTTTATTTTATTATTTAAAAAGAAATTTTTAGAGAAAACTTTTTTTAAGTTTATTATTATTTTTTTTAGTATCTCTACACCCAGTGTGGGGCTTGAACTCAGGCCCTGAGATCAAGAGTCACGTGTGCTTTTCCGACTGAACCAGCCAGGCCCCCCACGAATTGATTTTAGTCAGAAAAGTAACATGCATTTAAGCAGGCTCCTGCCTGGAGTCTGGCTGAAGCCCCACAGCCTCTTGCTGTAGCTGGCGACTTCCTCTCCATTTTCTTGCCACCATCTAGCTCAGATCCTCTGTCCCTCTCATCCCATGTCAGTCAGAATGGGGTGGAGAAAGGGAGGCGCTCAGACCTGGAGTCTGTTCAGTCATTTGACTTACTAGCTGTCTGTCTTTGCCCCAGTATTTTAAGTTATTTCTGTTTATTTACTTTTTTTTGTTCCATCACAGTCTTGAGTCTTGAAACACTGATAAGAAAATATTTCTTGCATATTCAGAAGCATTCAGGAAGAAATTTTGACCTTTATGATTTTTTAAAAAAAATTAGATATTCAAATGCTTACTACTTATTTTATGTACATACTAAGCATAAATATAGAACATAGAACTTTTAGGGGGGCTTCTGGGTGGCTAATCCAGTTTAGGGTTCAGGTCTTGATTTCGGCTCAGGTCATGATCTCACGGTTTATGGGTTCGAGCCCTGTGTCGGGCTCTGCGCTGACAGCAGAGCCTGCTTGAGATTCTCCCTCTCTGTCTGCCCCTCCCCTGCTCACAGTCTCTTTCAAAATAAATTTTAAAAAACCCAGAACCTTTTGGGGTGCCTGGGTGGCTTCAGTCAGTTCAAGTGTCTGACTCTTAATTTAGGCCCAGGTCATGATCTCACGGTCGTGGGATTGAGCGCCACGTTGGGCCGACAGCACAGAGCCTACTTGGGATTCTCTCTCCCTTTTTCTCTGCCCCTCCCCCGCTCTCTCTTGCACGCTCTCTCTCTTAAGATAACAGACTTACAAAAAATGTTTAAAAAATGCACATCTTTTTTCAGACATTTGACTATTGTGACATCGTGTAAATGTCCTCCGGACGAGTTGTAATACTGCCACTCTCTGAGGTGGGAATGATCCCTTACCAGTTAAGGATCCCTTCTTCCCCACACCTAGGAGAGTGCCTCCAGCTTCCCCGGTACTCCAGTACATGTGTGTCTATTTGTTATATTTGCCTTTGAATTTTTACTAAATAGCTCAATAATTAGGGAATGAACTTGATTACCACAGAACCCTAACCTGTTGTTGTCTTCCTTCGCTTATTTATGCGATCTGTTTTCCTGCCGTAAAGGGATCTGTCATCCTTCGGTGGTTAAGGCACATTTAATAATAACTAATGCATAGCACTCAGGCATATGATTAATTTTCCTAATTTTTATGGCAGTCCTTTGAGGTATCATCCTCATCTACAGGTAGGTGAACAAACTTAAAACAGACTAATAACCTTGCCCAAGATTGCGCAGCTAGTAAGTGCATCAGGAGGAGGCTGAGAAAGTCTGTGTTGGAATGTACACAGTGTGCATGTTTTGATCTTGCATTGTAAGTGAGACCTCGGAAGCAGTATAAATTTCCCTAACGAAGCATTAGGACATTATACAAGTTGGTTGAGTGAAAAAAAGAAATCTGGCTGTACTTGACTGTCTTTGCCCCATTTACATTGTCCCTCCAGTTTTGTTATTTAGAGCAGGATATCATGTGAATAGACATATTCTCCAGTTATTTTTGTAATCTTATTGTCACCCCAGGAATACTATACTACTTGCCATTGTGCAAGGAGAGCTGAATATTCTCTTTTCATTTCTTAACAGTACAGTGCTATGGATACCAATCCACTCTCTCTGTATGTCATGCACCCATTTTGGAATACTATAGTAAAGGTAAGACAATTAATAAGCTTGTGCGTAGGCTTTAGTAAGTTTTAAATATTTTAAGGGGTATTATGGATGTAACTGTTTGTTTAGTAAGATGTACAGAGAAACTCCCTCTCCTATCCTCCTTTCCCTTAGTCACATACCTTTTGATTTATTTCATTGTTGAAGTATAAGTTTATTTTCTTATACTAGAATTTATCATTTTTATAAAATGCATTTAAACATTTTCTAAAATAACTGTAATATCATGACTATAAGTTTGTTGATTATAGAATTTAAAATACAGAAAATAGAAGAATGAAATGCTTATTTCTATCAACTGAACATTGTGGTTTACATTTTAGTGTATATAACTCCTATATATGCTCTGTCAAGTTTATAGCTTTTATTATGACTTAAATTTGCATGTTGAGCGATTCCTTTACTTTAATTATTTTGAAAAAAAAAAAATAGGTATTTCCTACTTGGCTGGCTCCAAATCTGATAACCTTCTCTGGCTTTCTGCTGGTCGTGTTCAATTTCCTACTCATGGCATATTTTGATCCTGACTTCTATGCTTCAGGTAAGATTATTACTTTAATATAAAATTTAAAATGTCTAAATAGGGAAAAATGGCATATTGTTTTCTGGCTCAATTAATATGCTTGTCTTTTGGAGAAGTTTTGGTTATTATAAGAGTGTGTAAAATGTTAGAATTGGGTGTAAAAGTAAGTTGTGTTTTCACAGTCTGTTACTGTGAAAGTAGTTTATGTTTCCATAAACTTCTAGAAACCAAATTGGCTTCTTAATTTAGATATGCTGTCTAAAAAGCAGTGGGGTTTTGATAACTAAAGAATAATTGGATTTTTAAGAAGACAGAGTAATGAGGACTGTGACACTTTGCCTGAAAGCGAATATAAGCAGAGCCCAGCATACATATCAGTTCCAGAAACATCCCTTCCCTTTTTCTAATTATGCAAGAAAAATCCATGCCCCCCCCCCCCCCCCCACCATGTTGAAGGGAATGTGATCTCTCTTTCCCTCTGCTTGGCATCCCTGTTTGCCTTGAATAACTCCAGGTTTGCTCTGAAAATGGTTCTTAGACCATAAACGCTATTGACGGAAGTTGGGACTCTCACTGGGGAAGGGAGAAAAATGCTTTTGCAGGCAGCTGTCGTCTGCGTCCACCCCAGACCCCAGTGTCTTCTTTCATACTTGATGCTGTCCTCATGGTCCTTGTCCTCCCTTGCCCTGTGTCTGCCCCAGACCCTAGGACAGAATCGGGCTGTATTTGGGATGACAGGGGATAAGTGGGAGAAAGAGTTTATTTTCATTGCTCAGCCAGTTGATAGAGTTGAGTGGAATAGAAAGATGGATGTAGATGAATATCTTTTGTATTCTAAGTCAGAGTATATATGTTCCAGTAAGAATATTTACAAATGATGTAGTAAAGAGTCTTAGTGTTAAAATTCATCGGTGTTGTGGGGTTAAGCAGACTTTCGTGGACTGACCTGGACAAGTTAACGGTCACTGACAACATTGTTTTTGTAGGAAAATTCAGAGTTTCAAACACTTACAACTTGATACTATAAAAATTCTGAATATTGAAACTGTATGTATGCCTACCTTTATCAACTGAAATTTTAAGCCATAGCTTTTGTACGTGTAGTAAGATGACAATCGAAGATCATGAAGTACTAAGTGAATAATAAGATTACATTTTATTAAGCATGGTTTTGATACTGAGTAGCTTTTAAAAATTTATATTTTAATCTTCAGAACATCTTTAAAAGTTTTATAACTAGAAATACTAATTTTTCTTACTACTCTAACATATTAATTTGTTATTAAGAGTACCAAAAATATGTAAATATTATGTGTATTTCTCCAAATCATAGAAACCAGAGGACCAGATAACCCATCTAGTCCTAGTATATTGGGGAAATGGAAGCTAGGAAAGGTTAAATGATCTATTCATGGTCACATGGCTGCTGGAATATAGAGCCAGGCCTGGAACCCAGACCTCCTGATACTTAGTTACCCAAATGAAAAGGTCTTTTGTTTGGCTAGTTAATAAGTAGTGAGAGAATATAGATTGAAGGCTTAATACATGTTTGTAGGATAATTGTCAACAGTGAGGAGCAGATTAAACACAAGCATCTTGTAAGTTCCAAAAACATTAATTTTCATTATTAGCATGTACATAATTTTCAGGTAGAGATGAACAGGTAGCTTTGAGTTATAATTACAGCTCAAAATAAGTACCTGTCATTTATGAGGGGTTGGGCAGTTGCTTCTTTGGTTTTGTCAGTTTATTCGTGTATTTTAACGTTTACCTAATTCTGTATTGAAAGTATATTGTAAAATATTTTAACTTCTATTTAATAAATAGGACTATTTCTCAATAGCAGGATGTGCTGCAGTAAGAATGATCCTACTTTGTACTAAAATCTGAGTGCTTTCCTTTGCAGCGCCGGGTCACAAGCATGTACCCGATTGGGTTTGGATTGTAGTGGGGATCCTCAACTTCATAGCCTACACTCTAGGTAAGAAATTGGCAAATACTCATTTTAGTCAATGGCTGGTGAGTCTTTCAGCAAGGACAGCCATCCACTAAATTAACATTTTCTCTTCTGCTTAATTCATTTTAACTAGGGCTTACTGATTTCCTATTCAATAAAATAAGTATGTTTTTGCATTTCTCTATGGAAAATATTGTCATTCATTGCTCGGGATGCAGAGAATAAGATATGAGTTGGCAAACTGCCTCTTGCAGGCCAACCCTGTCCTTTTGTCTATTTTTATAAGTAAATTTTATTGGAACACTGCTATATTCATTCCTTTACTTGTCTGTGCCTGCTTGCTTTCTTTTTTCTTTTTTTAAACATCATGAATAAGATTTCTTATTTGTCATCATTAAATGGCTGAATTTTAAACAGATTCTTGGGCTGGTGGCTCATATCCATCAGCTTGTTCAACTTGAGCACTGGTCTCATCGCCAGTAGCTTTTCCAGAACTACTGCCTTCTCCGTGAAGCCCCATGAGCTCTCCCAACTCAAACCTGGGCTTCTCTAGCATTTTTACTTTGCTAATGAAGATATCATGGAGTGGAAAAATCGATTGACAAGCCTTTTCTACATCTTTTCTGATGCTGTCAGGAATCAGTTTGTTGACCACTGCTCTCAAGTCATTTGTCTGCACCTCTCGGGTCATGATTTCCATTATCTTTTTCTGAACACGGTGGACCTGTTGGTGCTGAGTGTAAAAGTCTTCCAAATCTTATTGTTGCGTTTTTTAGTAAAACTTACACAAAATAAGTGAAGTAAATAATTGTCGGTGGCTTGACATCAACATGAACTTCAATCACGGTCTGCCATTTTTTGACCATGGAGCACATTTTCTCACGGGAAGTATCCATGCCATGGAAATTAGGCAGTTTCTGCCCTTAACATCCTCAGTTATTAGCTTGAGTTTTCTAAATGCAACTTCATCATTCTGTAGATCTGCAAGGCTCACTTAAAAAACATGGCACTTGAGGCCGTCAGATACAATTTTTGTTCCTTGAGTTCTCGTGACTAGTGTTTTTCCAGTATTTCTTATATTAAATGTAGCAGGTGCTTTCACTTCATACTGATCTTTCCTAGCAAATAGGTCAACCACTTTCTTCTTGGCCCCTTTTTTGCTGCCCTTTGTAAGGCCCTTGTTCTTCCTGACCACCGTGGCTCTGCTCAGGGAGCCGCAAGGGCTCTATGCTTGCTTTCTGCAACATAGACAAAGTTGAGTAGTGGCAACAGTGTCTCCTGATGGCCCATAATGCCTCAACTATTTACTACTGTCTGGCTCTTTACAAAAAATATTTACCAATTTGGGAAATTGGATGGAATAAGACATCATTTTTGCCTTAAGTTTGGGAAACAGTACTGACCCGTCAGATATTTGTGGAATTTTGAGAGAGCTGCTACAGTAGAGCACGGTGGGGAATGGGTGGGAGAATAAGAAAGTGATCAGTTCGCCCCTGTGCTAGGCCATAACTGTCTGTTTTGCCAAGAACGCTTCTTGTTGCTTCTGTCTGCATGGCTTGTCCTGCATTCTCCTGTCCTCCTTCCTGCTTTATTTTTTTCCATAGTGCTCAAAACCATATTGCCTACTTGTCTCTCTGCTCTAAAATGTACATTCTTTGAGGACTATGTCCCCAGTATTGAGAACAGTGCCTAACACATAGTAGGCAGTCAGTATATAGTTTTCATTTTTATTTATAAAATTTATTTTTTAGTACTTTTTTAAAATGATTTTTTTTAAGTTTATTCATTTCTTATTTCTGAGAGAGAGAAAACACAAGCAGGGGAAGATCAGAGAGAGAAAGACACAGAATCTGAAGCAGGCTCCAGGCTCTGAGCTGTCAGCACAGAGCCCTACACAGGGCTTAATCTCACAAAGTGCAAGATCATGATCTGAGCCGAAGTCAGATGCTTAACCTACTGAGACACCCTAGCGCCCTTTTTTTTAATGATTTTTTTAAGTATTATAGTTTTTAAATGAGTATAAAATACGAGACCCTGACTTAAAGTTGCTTAGATCTCTTCAGATAAAAATGACTTCTAAAACCAGTATAATCTGGTATATGATTAAATGCTGACATTGAAGGTGACCAGAGGTGCAAGAATTTGAGGAAGGAAGAGCGTGAAGTCTAGAAGAATTAGGAGAAAGCTTAGTGAAAAACTACATTTTAGGCAGAAGCTTTTGTTTATTTGTTCTTAAAGATGAGCAGGCTTAAACATTCTGCTGTAGGGGCGCCTGCATGGCTCAGTCAGTTAAGTGTCCAACTTCAGCTCAGGCCATGATCTCATGGTTCAGTTCATGTGTTCGAACCTGCGTTGGGCCCTGTGCTGACAGCTCAGAGCCTGGAGCCTGCTTCAGATTCTGCGTCTCCCTCTCTCTTTCTTTCTGCCCTTCCCCCTCTCACACTCAGCCTCTCTCTCAAAAATAAAAATATTTTTAAAAATTAAATATAAAAAAAATACGGCTATAGGGAGTGCCTAGGTAGCTCATTTAAGCATCTGACTCTTGATTTTGGCTCATAATCTTACGGTTTGTGGGGTCGAGCCCCACGTCAGGCTCTGCATTGACAGCATAGAGCCCGCCTTGGCATTCCCTCTCTCCCTCTCTCTCTAAATAAATAAAAAACATTTCAAAATATTAAAAAAAAGTTTCTGCTCTAGGGTTCGGTTGCCAAGGGCAGGGAGGAATAGCGAAAAAAGTGAGAGTGACCTGAGGGCTCTGACTTTTAGCAGCATGTCCTCAGAGCTCTACGGTGTACCTTTTTCACATCCACGGTTCTGGCACAAATCCTGACCGAACATGAACTATTTGTTGCAAAACTGCCTTGAACTAACATGAGGCAATTTTTAAACTGTGTTCTACCAGTGTGACTGTTCTTACATTGTGCTGCAGAAATATCAGTGTGTTTGATCCCAGGGTGCTGCTCCGGGTCCTCCTGAGGTGTTTTTGTTTGTGGGTTTTTTTTGTTTTGTTTTGTTTTTTGGTCATAATATATGCTATATGCCCCGAATTACCTTTCTAAAAAAGCATTCTGTTTTTTTAGAAACAGAACATCCTAGACCCCAGACTTGGAGCTGGAATGGGGTCAGTGGGAAGCTGTACAAGACCTAATTAGTATGCAGTTCATGAATTTAGTGTTTGTAATAAATGCACAGAAGCTGCCCCACAAATCAGAAAGTAAGCCAGCAAATAAGGAGAAAAGACTTTTTGGAAATATTTTAGCTAGCAGAAAAGTTCTCAACACTGTGTGACAGAGGTCTGTAGTATTGGGGCAGGAATCTGGGACTCCCCCGTCATGTATCCCTTCAACAATGGTTTTAAAGGCCTACTTTAAAAAAAAAAAAAAAAAGATTTTTTAACAGTTTATTTATTTATTTTGAGACAGAGCACAAGCAGGGGAGGGGCAGAGAGAAGAGGGAGAGAGGGAATCCCAAGTAGGCTCTCCAGTATCAGCACAGAGCCCGGTGAGGGGCTCGAACTCCCTAACTGTGAGATTATGACCTGAGGCAAAATCAAGAGTCATCTGCTTAACCGACTGAGCCACCCTAGGTGCCCTAGGTTTTACCATTTTCCCACTCTCATTCTTTCCCTACACCCCCCACACCCCATCTCCTCTGTTTCTGCCCCTAAATGAAGGTGTTTCACTGTGCTTTATCCTTAACTTTGTCTTTCCTCTTATTCCCTTGGTACTTATCACTATTGAGATGACTCCTGTGTTTCTCTCTAGCCCTTGTAGATCTTCTGAGTTGTTAGTAAGTACCTTAGGTTGAGTTGCTTGACATTACCATGTGGATAATTCTGCCAGCAGCTCAGGCATCTTTTCCATCAGGCACATTCCTTCTGTGGGCTTCCTTGTTTCTGTTAGCACCAGTGCTCTTGGTTACCCAGAGGGGAGATTTTGGAGAGAATCTTCTGGTCCTTCAGCCTCACCACCCACCTTTTGCCACATTGCCATTTTTGCTTTCTCAGTATCTCACCTGCCTCCAGCCTCTCATTCCCACTCTATTCCATCTCAGTGTAGGCCTTACCGATTTGTGTCCTCTCTCCAGCCTGCCGTTCACACCGATGCCAGGTGAATATTCCTGAAGCACATCACTACTTTTACTCTTGTCATTCCCCTATTCACACCCTTTTCATAGCTCCTCATACTCCCTGAAACTTTTAAACTGGCTCCAACCTCCCTTCTAGCCTCCCTGCTGCCCTCTTTACATACTGGTTTCCTGTGGTCAGCTGAACACGCATGTGCTTTTCCATCTTGCTGTTTTTGCCGATAGCACTCCCTCCTCTTGAAACAGCACACGCTTATCTACTGAAATCCTACTCATTCTGTATGTCCCCGCTCAGGTATCATCTTGTCTGGAAGGCCACTCTCGATTATCTTAGCCTGAAGAGTTCTTGTCCCTTTTCCGTACTCTCCTGTGGTTTGGGATGTGTTGTATCTTTAATCGCCATGTGTTGTCTCCGTTCTCAGTTGTAAACACTGAGGACACAAACTTAGTTTATTCTAAGATTATTCTTATAATCTTCACAGCATCAGGAATAGTGCATTGTACAGTTTCAATACATCAGTCCATTTAATTCTTTTTTTTTTTAACTTATTGATCAATTTTTGAGAGAGGGAGAGTGGTGGAGGGGACACAGAGAGAGAGGGGGACAGAGGATCTGAAGCAGGCTCGGCACTGTCAGCACAGAGCTCGATGTGGGGCTCGAACCCATGACCTGTGAAATCATGACCTGAGCCAAAGTCGGACTCAGTCAACCGACTGAGCCACCCAGACGCCCCTTGATTCATTTAATTCTTATATTTACTGAACACCTACTACGTGCAAAGCCTTTCCTGAAAGCGCTTAAAATCAAGGAAGGGGTACATTTGTAACAAAGTGACTAATTTCAAACAAGATGAAGTAGGTGTTACGACTAAAGTTCAGGGTGTTTTTTGGATCCTAGAGCAAGGAGCGGTTAGAGAAATTGTAATGAATAACTATTGAATATTCTCTGGAGGCCTGAGAATTTGTGGCAAGCAGAACAACTGCAGTGTTAGGCCGATTGGAAGAATTCAGAGTCCAACTACAATGCTTTGTCCTCACATCTAAAATTGACACCATTTAGTTGATGTAATATATTTTAAGTTTTAGATTAAATTCTGAGGAACTAAGGCATTTTTTGTTTGAGGTTTGTTTGTTCAAAGGTTTGTTCTGAAACCTTTGAACTGTAGGAATTAGAGGGTGGATTTTTACAGTACTGGCTGGTAGCTGTACTTCATTTCTTCATCATTCCTATGATATGCTGATTTGCTTTGTGTTTCTCCAGTTTGTTAAAGAAGATTTTCTCCCTCCTGGTACAGATGCTGACCTTTCCCCGTGGTGATGTGTTTCTTTTGCAGATGGTGTGGATGGAAAGCAAGCCCGGAGAACCAATTCCAGCACCCCTTTAGGGGAGCTTTTTGACCATGGCCTTGATAGTTGGTCATGTGTTTACTTTGTTGTGACTGTGTATTCCATCTTTGGACGAGGACCATCTGGCGTCAGTGTTTTTGTTCTTTATCTCCTACTATGGGTGGTTTTGTTTTCGTTCATCCTCTCCCACTGGGAAAAGTATAATACAGGGATTCTTTTCCTGCCTTGGGGATATGACATTAGCCAGGTGGTAAGTATGTGTTACATTTTCAACAGTGCCATGAATTTTTGGGGAGGGGAGGAGTCTTCATCAACCTGTCTTTATTGCCCTTATGCTTTTTTGGCTAGAACTGATGTGTGCTTTAAAAATAATGTCGTTTTTAATCTTGTATTATTTGTTGTTTATTTATGCAAATTTCAAACACACAAAAAAGTAGGAGTAGCAGAGTGAACCTTGTGTACCTGTTCCTTAGGTTCAGCAGCTACATGACCAGTCTAGTTTCGTGAATACCCTTCCTCCCAAGTATTTTAAAGGAAATTCTCAAGATTCTGTGATAAATATTTTACCGTCTATCCTCTAAATAGGAAGAGCACTTTTTAAAAACCATAGTCACAATGTCATTATTACCAAAAAATGAAGTTTCTTAATTGCTAATAAATATTTTGAACTGTTAATTTTGTAAAGAGAGATATGCACATATAATTGTTGCTTTTTGGTCTTTACTGACTGCCAGCTTTCAATGCGTAGAGATACTTTTTTTCTTTTACTTAAAAGGCTCGCTATTAACTCTCCCTGCCTTTGAAGCCCAGCTTTTTGTGTTGCCATTTTGGCCATTTGCACCTAAGGTCCCAGTAAAGCCTCAGACATTGGAATGTTTGAAGACAGTGATCGGGTAGGCAAATTGGACCGCCTCTACCTTAACCAGTTCCTGGAGTGCCTTAAAGTGTTCTAAATGATGGCCAGTTGCTTGCATTGTCTAGAAGTTAGGTATTTTATGGTATTGTTGGCTTAAAAAAATATTTTCAAAGGCAAGACTTGCCACAGTATCAAATTTAAGTGTACTTCTTGCTTTTACTAAAACTACGAGACTTAACACTACATACAGCATTACAGGCTCCTTGACCTTTCCAGCTATTAATGCCTTTGTATGCTTTTGTCTGCATTTTCCTTCCAGACTATATCTTTTGTCTACATAGTGACTGCGATTGTGGGAGTTGAGGCCTGGTATGAACCTTTCCTGTTTAATTTCTTATATAGAGACCTATTCACTGCAATGATTATTGGTAAGAAGCTCCATGTTGAAGCCTATTTTAACATCACTTTGTTTTCTGAGCCAGTGTTTGATTATTCAAGCAGTAATGCCTTTCCCCCTCTCCTGTACCCTCCAGCAAGCATAACAGCCCTACAGGCCAGTAGGGTTTCAACTAAACCAGTAAGGAAGATAAAATTCCCATGTTTTGGTTTTTTTGGTGTATGGCACCAAGCTATTTCTAGTCAGAAGAAAGTAAATACCAAAATCGCATAAACCATGTAAACTAACTATTTAAATGAACCTAGACTCTTTTAGAGGATCCACATGTAGGTGGAAATTTGGTATAGATTTCGTGTCCATCTCCGAATTGAAGACTGTTAGTTTGTAGGAAATAGAATAGATGAAACAGAGAGATTACTTTGTAATACATTAACTCTGGAAGTTGAGCTGTTCCTCTCAGACACTCTCCTTTTGCCACTGGATATTAGGTAAAGAATTTTGGTAACAGTGTTTTATTTGGGAAACAGTTTTGATTGTGGTAATGTTTCCCTTTTGATTTTAGCCAGAGGGATATCTACGGGATGATTAACAGGATTAACGAAGTGTGGGGCGGTGTTTTCTATGCAAAGAGGAAGTTATCTGGGTTGCTACTCTGGGGCATTAGCACCTCTGCAGAAGTGGGGAAAAAAGCAAGCTGTAGGCTATTGCTCTGTTCCCTTATCTAAAAAATAACCCCCCCTTACTGCCAGTGCACTTTGGTAATAGAATGGGCGTTAGATAAGGCTTAGAAACAGCTGAGAAGCCAGTGCATTAGCCACTGGCTTTTAGGCAGTAGTTTGGGCTTTTCTCTGTTGCTCTGGTCTACACGTATTTTTGAACCCTGCCGTAATCTTCCCAATGTTCATTTTGGGGTTTTTGTACGAACTGATTTCTTAACCCTGAAAAGGCAAGCTGGTTTGCATTTCCACCACACAGTGAATCTTCTGGTTTAAGTAGCTGGTCTTGTGGCAGTATTGCTGCATTTTACGTTTAAATGTTAAATTTAACAAGGAGATGGAATCCTCTGAGGCGTGAGATATATTTTTGAATGTTAAGTGGATGCTTTTAATAGGCACATAGTTTTCTTCGTACCTTCTAAGTTTATCTGAATTCTTCTTTCTGAAACAAAACAGAAGCCCACATGTTTCTATACAAATAAATAAAGTAGCTTTCCCAGTGCAGGCATACCTTGTTTTATTGCACTTTATTGTGCTTTGCAGATCCTGTCTTTTTTACAAATTGAAGGCCTGTGGCACCCCTTTGTCAGGCAAGTCTGTCAGCACCATTTTCCCCACAGCATTGGCTCCCTTCTTGTCTCTTTTCTGTCAGATTTTGGTAATTCTCAGAATATTTCAAACTTTTCCATCATTATTACATTCGCTGTGGTGGCCTGTGATCAGTGGTCTTTGATGTTACTGTTTGAATTGTTCTGGGGGCACCACCAAGCATGCCCACATAAGATGGCCACTTACTAGGTCAATGTGTGTGTCTGGCTGTTCCACCCACCCTCCTCTCTCCCTCTCACTTCTCTCCCTCTCCTTGGGCCTCCCTGTTTCCTGAGACACGGAATGGAAATTCGGGCAGTTAATGACCCTCCCGTGGCTTCTAAGTGTTCAAGTGAAAGGAAGAGTCGCATGTCTCCCACTTTAGATCACAAACGAGAAATGAAGAAGCTTAGTGATGAAGGCATGTTGAAAGCTGAGATAGGCCTAAAGCCAGGCCCCTTGTGCCAAACATGTAGCTAAGTTTGTAAATGCAGTGGAAAAGCTCTTGAAGAAAATGATAAGTGCTACTTCCCAAACCCAAGAATGCTAAGAAAGTGAGAAACTGCCTTATTGCTGATACGGAGAAAGTTTTAGTGATCTGAATAGAAGATCAAACCAGCCACAACATTCCCTCGAGCCGAAGCCCAATTCAGAACAGAACTCTCTTCAATTCTAGGAAAGCTGAGAGAGGTGAGGAAGCTCCAGAAGACAGGATTGAAGCTAGCAGAGGTTGGTTCATGAGGTTTAAGGAAAGAAGACTCCTCTGTATCATAGAAGTGCAAGGTGAGGCTGCAAGTGCTGATGGAGAAGCTGCAGCAAGTTCTCCAGAAGATCTAGCTCAGATCATTCAGGAAGGTGGCTGCACCATACAACAGATTTTTAGTGTAGATGTAACAGCCTCAATGTGGGAAGAAGATGCCATCTAGGACTTTCATAGCTAGAGAGGAGAAGTCAGGGCCTGGCTTCCAAGCTTCAGAGGACAGGCTGACTCTCATGTCAGGGGCTAACGCAGCTGGTGACTTAAAGGTGACGCTAGTGCTGATCAACTATTCTGAAAGTCCTAGGGCCCTTAAGAATTTGCTAAACCTCCTCTGCCTGTCCTCTGTACATGGAACAACAAAGCCTGGGCAATAGCACATCTGTTTACAACATGGTTTACTGAATAGTTTTGGCTCCCTATTGAGATCTGCTCAGAAAAAAAGGATTCCTTTCAAAATATTACCGCTCATGGCCAGGGACCTGGTCACCCAAGAGCTCTGATCACACTGTACAGTGGGATTAACACTGTGTTCATGCTTCCTAACATAGCATCCGTCCTGCAGGAGATTGAAGAGCGACTTCAACTTTCGGTCTTATTACAGAAGAAATAAATACATTTTTATAAGGCCGTAAGATCTGGTGGAGCTAGGCAAAGGAAATTTAAAACCTTCTGGAAAGGATTCAGTATTCTAGATGCCGCTAAGAACATCCGTGATTCAAGGGGAGAGGTCAAAATATCAACATTGACAGGAATTTGGAAGAAGTTGATTCCAACCTTTATGGGTGACTCTGAGGGGTTCAAAACTTCAGCGAAGGAGGTGACTACCTGTGGCAGAAATAGCAAAAGAACTAGAATTCAGAGTGGAGCCTGAAGAGAGCACTGAATCACTACAGTCTCATGATCAAACTTTGTAACAAATGAATTACTTCTTATGGATGAGAGAACAACGTGGGTTTCTTGAGGTAGTACCCGCTGGGGAAGATGCTGTGAAGTTCGCATATTGCATGCACTTGGTTGAATAAAGCAGTGGCAGGGTTGGAGAGGACTGACTCCTCTATTTTGAAAGAGGTTTTACAGTGGATAAAATGCTATCAAGCAACATCACAAACTGTAGAGAAATTGTGAAAAGAGGAGCCAGAAGCTTCACTGTTTCTTATTTTAAGAATGGGGCGCCTGGGTGGCTCAGTCGGTTAGGCGGCTGACTTCGGCTCAGGTCATGATCTCGCATTTCATGGGTTCGAGCCCCGCATCAGGCTATGTGCTGACAGCCAACTCAGAGCCTGGAGTCTGTTTCAAATTCTGTGTCTCCTTCTCTCTCTGACCCTCCCCTGCTCACGCTGTCTCTCTCTCTCTAAGAAATAAATAAAACATTAAAAAAATTAAAAAAACAAAAAACAAAAAAACATGCCACAGCCGCCCCGACCTCTAGCAGTCACCCTCCTCCAGCCCCCAACAGTCAGGGGCTGTCAGCCTCGAGACAAGACCCTCTACCAGCAAAAAAGATTACAACTCACTGAAAGCTAAGCTGATGGCTGAGTTTTATAGCCATAAAGTATTTTTTAATTATGGCAAGCACATTTTTTTTAGACTTAATTGCTATTGTACTCTTAATAGACTACATTTTAGTGTAAACGTAACTTTCATGCCCTGGGAAACCAAAAAATTCATGTGACTTTCTTTCTTGTGATGTTCAGTGTTTGTTTTATTGCGGTGGTCTGGAGTCCTCCTGTAATATCTCTGAGGTACGCCTGTCCTTTTAATGGAAAGTACATTAGGTGCTATTGAGAGAAGAAATAGAAGATGCAGTGTGCCTCTTGGGCGACCTACATATAGGCCAGGCTTCCTGCATCCTTGCCCTGTGTAAGATAGAGGTAGTTCAAGATATTTGAAACTAAAAATACTCTTGGTAACAAATCTCTTGCCAGTTTGTGTCAGCCTGTTTCCAACACCTCAGAGCCACAGTGATTCTGGGTTAATTAATTCACTCCTGCTTCCCACCTGTGCTTCCCAGCATGCTGCAGAGTCACCTGCTAAAAAGGTCTGAGGACATCAGCTTGTCTCCTCTCTAAGCTCTTCTAGCTTGAGGAACTTTGTTCCAGTTAGGCTTAGACGTGGCAGAGTAATTCATCTTCTCAGATGAGATTTCTGTTTGGTGGCTTCCAGTCTTCTCTTTTTAACAAAATGTCTCAGGAATTATTTTGAAGGACTCCCTTTCTATCTTTGACCCTTCAGGCCATAGCTACATTAGGTACCTTCTCACCCCAGGCCAAGTATGGTCAATGGGAGTCTGGAGTGCATAAGCTGGGGCTAATCTGTTGAGTGACAGTGAAATAGCCAAGTGAAGTCTCCAGAAACTTGCCATATGTGTTGATTTGGAGTATGACAGAGAGGAAGATCAGGAATTTGCATCTCTATAATTTGTAGAATCAGAGATTTTTATTTTTATTTATTTTAATGTTTATTAATTTTGAGGGAGGGAGAGAGAGAGAGTACATGTGCATGCATGGGAGAGGGGCAGAGAGAGGTAGACGGTGAGAGAGAGAGAGAGAAAGAAAGAGAATCCCAAGCAGACTCCGTGGTGTCAGCACAGAGCCTGATGTAGTGTTCAAACTCACAAACAGTGAGATCATGACTTGAGCCGAAATCAAGAGTTGGATGCTAAACCCACTGAACCACTCAGGTGCCCCAAATCAGAGAATTTTAAAAATGCAAGTGACATTAGGAAATCATTGAGTCATCCGCATTGGACAGCTGTGGAGTCTGAAGCTCAGAGAGATTGTCTGATTTGCCCCAGAGTACATTACTAGCTTTTGGAGTCATCTGCAAGAATCTTCCAGTTAAAGCTGTAAGAGAGGATTCTCTGAAGGAGGAGAGAAGCACAGGTGAATGCCCAGTTAGGAATGGCCAGGGGACAGAGTTGCCGGTAAAGGACACCACGTGTAGTGGCTGGAGGACTAACAGGAACATTGGGAGCGTGGAGTCACAAAGGCGAAGGGAGGAAAGAACTGCAGTGAGTGGGATCAGCAGAGGCCTCTCACGTAGGGGTCAGGAGTGAAGAAAGGGTATTGAATTTGGTCACTAGGAGAGCTTGGTAAAATCAGGAGTGCAGTTTCTGCAGAGGGAAGGCAGAATGAATAAAAGAGGACTGAGGGATTGAAGGCCATGGAAAAGTCTGGCGAGTGACTGGGAATAGCAGAGTAGGATAGTAGAGAGCAAGGGCAGCAGAAGCAACGGTCGAGCTTCCTGGGGAGGCTGTCCTTGTTGGGTCTGAGGGGACAGAACTAGGGTCTGCTCAGGAGTGGGCGGAGCAATGCATAATGCTCGGGAAATAAAAATCAGCAGAAATGGGAAACTGCAGAATCCATTAATCACCTGCTCTTTCCAAAACCCACATTTGTGCGATGTACCACATACCAGGCACCGTTCCAGGGGTCTTGACATGTCACAACTCATTTCATTCTCAAAACCCTACGGGGCCAATTCTATTATCTCTATTTTATAAAAGAGGGAATGGAAGCACTGGAACGGTAACGTGCCTGAAATCACATAACCTGTTGGCAAAACCGAGATCCAAGCCTGGTCTGGTTCCTGAGCCTCGGCACTGAGCCACTCACTGCCACTCTTCGCGAGTAACTGTTGTTCTGAAATGTATTTGGCTTCACTACAGAAGTAAACCTGAGCCCGCAAATCACTGGGTCTAAAAGTATTACAAGTTTCATATGTATTCAATAATTATAAAAATCCCTCTTGAATATTAATTCACAGTGGATTTAAATATTCTCCTTTTAGGCTGTGCGTTATGTGTGACTCTCCCGATGAGTTTATTGAACTTTTTCAGGTAAGTGCTTTATTTACTTGGGCAAGAATCGCAACAGTTGTTTCTCAGATGAATTTGAGTGTCTGTTTTGCTTTTGGAATCTGGACGTTTTGAGAAGGTCATAAAAGCTGTATTTTGAATCTGGGATGAGGTTCGGGCCATTTAGGGTGTCTACGGTGGCCGCGTGGTCGGTTCAACCACAACACAAAACTCCTCATTCTTTTGTTGCAGTTTTTGGCTCAGTAGGCAGTCTTCTAATTTGTCACTTTCTGTGAGAGAATTGGGAAGGAGTGTGTTCCCATTGAATAGTGACAGGTTTACGTCCTTTGTAGAAATTGATGATAAGTTTTATGAATTGATTCTGAAGTTTACTCAGCATGATCATAACATGAACTTGTGTAGTTTAGACCAAACCCCGGATCCATGCTAACTTCCCAAGTGGCACTGGGTAAAAACTCCCGCCCGGAGGAGTGGGGTGAGGGCGGGGCGGGGGTACCATGGGAGTTGCCCTGAGTCTCATTTCACTGATCTGCACTTTACCCTTGCTCAGCCACACTGAATTTTCTTAAGGGTCCCGAATGTATTTTGTCTTTTCCCTCCCTGGTCATTTTGCTCCCTCCCCCCTCCATCTAGTGCTGTTTCCTCCACGCGAAGCACTTGTACTTCCCACTTCATCCTTCAGCTCCCAGGTCTGTCTTGCAGCGTCCTGTTGTGAAGCCACGCTCTGTGAACCTTCCCTGTTTATGGCAGCTGGCAGCCATTCATAGAAACCATAAAACTTAAAGCTCTGAAGGCCTTAGAGTTTGAGACATTTCCCCATCTTCTAAGGATGAGGTCCTGATCAGGCACTATCTTGTCCAAGATCATGTAACCAGTGGCAGAACCAAGCCTAGAATCTGGGGCTTCATTCAGATGAGCAAACACGGGAGTGTGTGCCAGGACAGCCTCAGTGCAGAGTCTTCCGCTCATAGGTTCTCTGTCACTTTGTACTGTAATAACAGCCAGGGACTTGCTAGTGTCGTTTTGTGGTCATTGCATTCCCCCTGTTAGAGTATAAACCTTGGGAAACAAAACATCAGGTTTTATTTATCTTTACATTCTAGAGGACCATGGGGGTTGGAGCACTTCCACTCTAGGCCAGGCCCTGCCACTTGGCAGCAAGTTATATAAATTTGACTTCTCACATGGTCACCTAACCTGTCTGTAAGATGGGGTTTAGTAATGTCAGTTCTGTGTATGCTGTGGGATTATTTTGAGTGTTAAATAAGAGGATAAGTGTGAAAGTACTTAGAAAACTACAAAAGTTGCAAATATGGTACAAGTTTTATATGTAATAATGTTCTTTGTATTACTTGATTTTTTTTTCAGAAGCTATAAAAATAACACCCTGAAACACAATTCAGTCTATGAAGCTATGGTTCCCTTTTTTTCTCCATGTTTGCTATTCATTTTGTCTACAGCGTGGATCCTTCAGTCACCTTCAGATATTTTAGAGATACATCCTAGAATATTCTACTTTATGGTTGGAACAGCCTTTGCCAATATCACAGTAAGGTTTTTTTTCTTTTTTTAAATGTTTATTATTTTGAGTGAGAGAGAGCACATGCAAGGGAGGGGCAGAGAGAGAGAAAGGGAGGGAGAGAGAGAATCTCAAGCAGGCTCCTCGCTGTCAGCGCAGAGTCCGACATAGGGCTCGATCTCACTAACTGAGATCATGACCTGAGCCTAAGCCTGGAGTCAGATGCTTAACCTGAGTGACCTAGGCACCCCAGGTTTTTTTCATTTTAAGTCATACCTAAGGAATATATGACAAATATATGACAAAATGTGAAAATTGGAGAGATCTTTAGTATTAAAAATAAACATTTTAATTTAAAGATATTTTACAGTAGAAACTTGAAAGAGTAATAAAGCCAAACAACAGAACATGCTGGGAATTATTTTGTCCTTTTCCAGATGGCTGCAGATCTAATGATGAGGGAAGCTGACAGGGGTTTTTGAGAAAACTCACACACACACACACACACACACACACACACTCACACACACACTTTTAAATCAGCTAATTTTTTTAAAATTAAAAACAGGGTGTAAAAGCTTTGTAATAAATACAACATATTTTTCAAAAGCCCTTTCTTGGTGCTGGCCCAGGAAGACAGCAGACAGGAGAGATCAGATGCCGTTGAGAAAAGACCCTCATGGTCCTGACAACTAGGGAGTGTGTCCCCAGCTCTGGTCAGGTCCTTAATAAGTGTTTACTTAATAAGTTAGCCACCAAGCTCGTGTCCATGTGTGTGGTATGCATTCATTATCACCAGTCCGGCTGATTTCCCAGGGCTTAAAGATCCAAAAATATTAATACATTGTATTAAAAAATTATTTCTGAAGTAATAAAAATAGATTTGAATAAGGTATTGAAAGTAAAGGCAGCCAGAGAGGTTTTGAGGTGTTAGTATGACAATACGACGGAACTGGAGATAGCATCTCTTCGTCACCATAAAGAAATGTAGTTGCATGGAGCTCTAAAAGGCTATTTTGAGAGAGTTCTTTTCAGATTGTCACACCATCTTAAAATCGGGAGAAATTCCCTTTATCCGAACTGTTACCTACTGGAAGAATGCCCTGTACAGCATCCGTACTAAATTATTTTCTGGCCTTGTCTGACACATACTCTGGGGGCCCAGGGGTTTGGAGGTGGGGGTTGGGGTTCAGTTGGGTTCCTGAGCAGTTGAGAACTAGTGAACTTAATAACGTGGTGTAACTGGAACACATTTAAATGTTGGAGTGACTTCTTTTGAAGTGCTTTGCTAATTAAATTTTCATTTTTTTTTCCCTCCCTAACTTCAAGTGTCAGCTGATTGTCTGTCAAATGAGCAGTACCCGGTGCCCAACTTTGAATTGGTTGCTGGTTCCTCTTTTCTTGGTTGTCCTGGTCGTGAACTTAGGAGTAGCCTCTAGCATTGAGAGCGTTCTTCTGTATACCTTAACAACTGTTTTCACTCTGGCCCACATCCACTATGGAGTACGAGTGGTGAGTCTTCTAGAGCAAAATTGTTTGTTTGGTTTTTTTTTTTTTTAATGTTTTATTTATTTCTGAGAGAGAGACAGCATGAGAAGGGGAGGGTCAGAGAGAGAGGGAGACACATAATCTGAAACAGGCTCTGAGCTAGCTGTCAGCACAGAGCCCGACGTGGGGCCCGAACCCACAAACCGTGAGATCATGACCTGAGCCGAAGTCGGATGCTTAACCAACTGAGCCACTCAGGCACCCTTGTTTGGTTCTTATAAGTAGTAGAAAGGTGATGAAGGACAAATTTCGAAAGAAAGTTGCTTATGAAAGTAGCTGGAAGAATTGGGATAGTCCCTATATATTTTGGATAATATCCAGGTACATAAGGTACTGTTTCTCTGATGAATAGGTTATAGTAATTACAAATAATTTTAAAGCTGGATAATTATTGTGAAGAGTTCTTGTCTTTAGGTAGAAATGTAAACTTTCTTGGTGAATGGAATTGTACACTCTTGTGTGCTTTTAATTATAGGAAACCAAATAATCCCATCTGATGATTATATATTTCTATACTTTTTAAAAAAGCTTATTTATATATTTTGAGAGAGAGAGAGACAGAGAGTGTGAACAGGGGAGGGGAAGAGAGAAGGAGAGAGAGAGAGAATCCTAATTCTGACATGGAGCTCAAACTCACAGACCGTGAGGATCATGACCTGAGCTGAATCGGATCAAGATTCAAGAATCAAGAATCCGATGTGCAACCGAGTGAGCCCCCCAGGCGTCCCTCTACACTTGTTTCTTTAGCTTTAGGGTTTTTTTTTTATCAGGGGAATTATGGAAGAGAATGGATTTAGGAATAGGAAGTATTTTGCAAACGTTAATAATCTCTTCTAAAAAAAGAGACTGGTTTCAGGGCAAATGGACTAAGATAGATGTAATAAAATGAAAATCAGAACCATGAAATTTACTTTCTTTTCCTCACACTTTAACATTCTAATGATTCTGTATATTTTAGCATGGTCTTATAATTACGGTTTTTAATTGTTGTACAGTATTCCATCAAGGAGATTACTTGATAATTATCCAGTTTACTTAACTATGATCCAGTTATTTTCATCATCTAGGTTGTTCCAAATTTTCACTATTACAAATAAGATTGGAATAATAATAACAACAATCTGGAATATTATATTTTTCTCTATTTTATTTTCTGAGGATAATTTCAGAGCAATGGGGTTATGTAGAAGGGTATTTATGTTTTCATGGCTCTTAAAATACTGCTTTTATTTGGTATGCTTGTTTTGAAAGGAACTCTACTGTGATTCAGTTTGAGACACATGTCTTCTATTTTAAAATGAGCACCTAGGGGCACCTGGTCAATTAAGCATCTGACTTTGGCTCAGGTCATGATCTCACAATTCTTTTCTTTCTTTTTTTTTTTTTTTGTTTTAAATTTTTTTAAACGTTTTTATTTATTTATTTATTTATTTGTTATTTATTTATTTCTGGGGGAGGGGGGTAGCATGAGCAGGGAAGGGTCAGAGAAAGAGGGAGACACAGAATCTGAAGCAGGCTCCAGGCTCCGAGCTAGCTGCCAGCACAGAGCCCAACGCGGGGCTCGAACCCACAAACTGCGAGATTATGACCTGAGCCAAAGTCGGACACTCAACCAACTGAGCCACCCGGGCGCCCCATGATCTCACAATTCTTGAGTTCGAGCCCCACGTCAGGCTCTGTGCTGACTATTCAGAGCCTGGAGCCTACTTGGGATTCTGTGTCTCCCTCTCTCTCTGTTCCTCCCCCACTCACGTTCTGTCTCTCTCTCAAAAATAAACATTATAAAAAAATATTTAAAGTGAACGTACCTGTATTGCTTGAGAACTGCTTTATACCTTGTACATGTTGCTGAACTTAGGGCTCTTCCCTTTGCATTCTCCCCAAAGCAGCCTACGTTTGTTAGAACAAAGTAGATGAAAAGAAAAAAACATGACATGAGGACATAATCACTTATGTTTTTATTTGTGCATACTTAACGTGTATGCTTTATTTTATATTAACACTCTTAGGCTTTTATTTTATATTTCATTGGTCACATGCATGAAGTAGAATATAGTTGTAAATGTCTTTTATAATTTTACTACAGCCCTTCACAAGGATGTCTTTAGGAAACCATACATACACCAAACCAAACCAAAAAACCTTTTTCTTTAAATTACAAAGGCAGTACATTTTCACTGTTAAAAATCTGGAAAATAAATAAAATTGAAAGAAGTTCTAGGAACATGTTTTGTCTGTCTTTATGCTCTCTTAACCACTTTACAACTTCTAACCAGAAGGTAAAACTTGCAGGCTACATAAAACTTTCATTTGAACTATTGAAATATAAATAATAGCAACAGAACTGGAACTTTGGTAACTGACACATAACCAAGGTCTTGCCTACCCACTAGGGATATCCTAAGCAGTGTGGCCTAAATGCCTTGAAATGTAGAGATCTGCTTTTATACTGTTTCATCAGGATTAGGAGTGATTATCTAGAAATGCTGTAAGCAGCTGAATATAGTCTAACCATATATATAAATATTTGACCTACTAAGATATTATATGTCAACTAACCCGGTAGACTTGGGTGTGAATCTGGGTGGTCTGGAAGGCTCTGGAAGAAATTCTAGATTTGGGACCTAGGCAGACCCATGTATAAGGTGTAACCCTCCCAGGGTAGTTCTGGTATTCTCTAGAATTCTATAGCCTTCTAGCTCTGTAGGCATCCTGGTCCACAAAAGCCTCTTCATTATTTCTGCCGAGTTTTGCTGTGTCGGTAAATTGTTGTCCCCAGTGGGTGAATTCTGTGTGCTTTTAAAAAATAATTAGGAATGTATTTGTCACCGTCTCATGTTCTGGTTTTCTCTAGGTCAAGCAGCTGAGCAGTCATTTTCAGATTTATCCCTTCTCATTGCGGAAACCAAACTCGGATTGACTAGGAATGGAAGAAAGGAGTATTGGCCTGTAATCTACAGAAGGAAGTACTGTAAATAAGATGCTTGTAAATATTTCATCCATCACCATTGAACTAAACTGATCTACTTAACAGACATGGGAACTGAGTGTGTATAGTACTTGGACAGCAGGAGTGATATGAATGATCTGAACTTACGGAATTTTGGACCTACTAACTCCCATCTTACTTTTTATAAAACCATGTGGCTTTTTGGTTAGGCAAAATGTACTTTAGACCAGCAAATTGTTTTAGTGATTTTAGCTTCATGAGTCCATAATGTTTTGGTTCCTACAGAGTTAAAGATGCTTTGTTTTTACTTTTGAAGCCCCAAGATCGGTTTAGGAACACTGATAGCGTTAAGAAAACCACAAAATGTTTTCACATTTGATACTGCTTCACTAGTAGGTCCTTAGCTGTGGAAGTTATCGGTAGTCCAGTACTAATATAGGGAGAGGATGAGGGCAAGGCACTGTTAGCCGGAGATGCCAAATGATTACAGAGCAATGTGCGGTTGCCAAATACTGGTTTCTCTTTCCCACGGAAATGCCTTTTGTCCTCATGTGCTAAGAGAGCTAATATATATATTCAGATCCTCTAGTATTCTGGCTCTCTTTCTTGGCAACAGATCTTGATGAATGGTTTAATTTAATTTAATTTTTAAAATTATTTTAAAGTTTATTTACCGAGAGAGAGAGGATGAGGCTGAGGGAGAGGGAGGGAGAGAGCACAAGCAGAGGAGGGGCAGAGAGGAGGAGAGACAGAATCCCAAGCAGCTCCACTCAATTAGCGCAGAGCCTGATGCGAGACTCAAACTCACAAACTGCAAGATCATGACCTGAGCCGAGATCAAGAGTCGGTTGCTTAACTGGCTGCACCACCCAGGTGCCCCGGTTTAATTTTCTTTTAAAGAAAAATATTCTATTGAGACTTAGTAGAGAATGGATCGTAATTATAGCTCACGCATTAACATGGTTCATCGTTTAAATGTGGTATTCTCCCCCTCAGCTGCGAGTTGCTGAGATTTGGTGCCTGCGCACTCTGTCTGATGATATGAATGCATGTGACAGTCCCAGTCTTACGATAATTCCTCATAAGGAACACAGATAAACTTCTTTACAAGAGAAATATACTATGGAGTTATGAATCTCACGAACCTCACTATGAATTACTGCTATGAACCTCACTCCGAAATTAGTTTTCTGATTCAGTTTATTCTTCCGTCTGTCTGTCCATCGCCTGTCTCTTTTTTGTGGAGGAGAGAGTGCTATGTTTTTTATTTCATACAGGATAAAGGAGTAGAAATTCCTTCTTCCCTAGTTTGCCCACTTCCCCAGTTGAGGAAAACTTTTGACATATATGCCTTACTTAGTACCTACTCTCTTTAAAAAGACTTGGAATAATTTTTGAGGTTTGCTGACAGACATAAAAATCCCTTTGACTTCAATGTGGTTGTTTGATAGATGATACCTTCTCACGAATGTGGATATTTTCTTTCTTTTTGACATTGTCTCCGCTTAGTTTTGTGGTGGTGAAATTTACTTGCTGATTTTCTTTTTTTTTTTTTTCCACCGAATGAAGGTTGTGCTTGAATGAAGAGTGTATCTTAAACCCTTTTTTTTTTTGGATGGATTGCACTTGGATAAAATGGGCACCACTGTGTTGATATGTAATTAAACTCTTTACCATTATTTATGAATGTGACCATCGTTAAATTTAATTATAGTGTATTCCTTTTTGAATTTCAGTCTGCTGCTTTGTAAAAATAACCATGTAATTGATACTTCAGTTTTTAAATTTGTAAATTCTAATCACTGTCATCCAGTTTATTAGAAATGAGGCGTCCAGGAGCTAACTCATGGTTCTGTACTCATTTTTAAAAATGGCTCGTAAAGGTTAAGGTATATTTGGTGACTTTTTCTGAGACCGAAAATAGGTGAGAAATTGATGCAGGGAAAATGTGGGTAATGATTCCATGTTAGTAAATTGCCATCATGGAGGTCAGAGAAGGAACAAATTAAGTAACGGTAACTATTTTTTGTATACCTTGTTCTTTGTCATCTGTAAAATTGAACTGGATCAGGTGTTATTTTGGGCTGGGAACAAAGCTTCCTTCAAAGGTTTCTGAGCTAATCATTTTACTGTCTTGTTGACCTTGTACACAGAATGAGATTAATATGTATTATATAAGAAAAGAACTGATAAATATTTATTAAATGACAAATTTGGACCACAGGCTTTCTTCGCCTTGCACAGTATAGTTACATACACACCCTTTCTGCCGTAGGGTCGTGTCCTGTACTTCCGGGGCTGTTTTACCTCAAAATGTGTTTCTGTTCTTTTTTTCTATTGCATCAGGTTTATTTGGAATTGTTTGTGCCTGTTCTGTTTCCCTACAGTGGTAAAGAATTATGCTATAGTTTCATTGGCGCCGTTAGATGAAAGAAAGGTGGCTGTCAACAAGATAAAAGTGAAGCTGAGTTAGTGTTTTGGAATACTGTGGACTTGTAAACCTTTAGTGTCCCGCTGACTTCTTGGTTTAGTCGCCATCTTGAAATGCATCTTGAAAGCCCCCATTTGTCATGTAGTGATACAGCAGCTGAGGCAGGACTTAGTTACACATAGCCCTGAGCCTTCGTCGTGCTGATTACCATAACATTTCTAAGGTATAAATATAAATATAATAGATATTTTGGACTTCTGCATGATATTTTGGGGGTGAGTCGAGCACCCCTGCCTTTCTTCCAGCATCCACTGAGCTGCCTTTAGGGGGCAGTGACATGGTTGGCCACACGTGCACGTTTTCCGTCCACTTCAGAGTAGTGTGCCATAGCCAGGCCAGACGTTTGCTTTGTGTCTCTGCTGACCGGTCAGCCAGACCTGTGAGAAGTTTCTCGTCAGGTTATGGTATGAAAAATGTCCTTTCGTGCTTGACAGAAAAGATTTCCCTACATTTGAGGGGGGCATGGGATAGAACAACCTTTACCTGAACAGAGTATGTTATTGCCTGCTTTCCCAGTCCTTTACTAACACTCATGACCTTGAGTGCATTGCACAGTTTAAAATTGTCACAAGTTATGTCAGCAGTCGGTGCAGTTCATGAGTTTTAGTCTCAAGGGTAATATGTAAAAAATAAAATCGTCCTTGGCATTTTAATCATACCATGCTTAAAATACTCTTTTAATTCTAAGTTTCAAAAAGCCCCGTGCTGATTACGGTCTAGAATGTTACAGTACTACAATCGACATGTCGTTCATTCTAGTATAGAGGCTTGAGGAAGAGAAGTATATGTCTAGACTTGCCCACATTCTACATAGGTACCAAAAGAGCATTGATCATGACCCAGAGTCCGGGCTTTGCAGGAATATGCAAAAGAAACAGCAGGCATAGGGTCCACTTAGTGCCTAGTGATCCTAATGCAATGCAGAGTTTAAAATGTTCACATTTCAATTTAAATCGTCATTCCTCCACTAATTTCAAATTCAGATGTGATTTTGGAAGCTTCCTAAGTGTTCGGTTTTCAAAGAATTTATTCTGTAGTCAGTTGAAAACCCTTTGGAATGTAGCTTGCTTGCCAAAGTAAACTTTGATTCTATCACCTGTGGAAAATATAAAGGTAAACTGAAGGTGTTCGAGTCAAAGGCTCCATTGCCCTTTATATTTTAACTAGAAGCCTGTGTGTAATTCCTCCTTTCTTTCAACTTGCCACCACCAAGGACCGAGCTGCCCGCTTGCTTTGTTTCACCTGGATCTTGCCACATTCCAGCCTCCGCGGTTGCCTTAGATCTCTTTGCTGGTCTGGGACTGGGAGCGTGCGGGAGGCAACAGACTAAAGCCGATGGGCAAGAACTATTGGCTGTGGGTCCCCCCAAAAAGCCAAATCTTTGGTTGTGTTGATTCCTGTGTTTGGAGTGGCCTTTAGCTGTTCTGGACATGACTGAGTACTCTGTGGGAGATTTGTGAGGTCTGATTAGAATTTTCTTTGTCCTGTGAAGCGTCTGTGTCAGGCAGCGTGCCCTTTCGTGAACACCCTGTGGGTGAATAGCCTTCCTAAATTAGCTGCCAGTACTAGAACCTTCCAGGAGGAACTGTAATTAGTATGCTGCATTTGGAGCACTTTGACATGTATATTTTAAGTGACAGTTTTAACAGGCAAATGGTGTTAAACCAATCACTGTGAAACTTGAAAGTGTGATGCTCTCTACGTTTTAGGAAGCTTAAGTAAATTTCTGATTTTTCTTGTATTAATTATGTAACCTGTGTGATTTGCATAGTTTTCACCTTTGACAGTGCCACAGATAACTGACATGTTGGCAGGCAGTTACATGAGGGTATCTGGGAAACCATGTTTGTTGAGCTTTTCCAGAGAAAGTGGCAACATGTTACCCTCTTCCTTGAGTGAAGCCGTGGGAGCAGGATATACTGGCTGAGTCCTTGCAGGGTGTTTGCAGTGCAAAATGAGCCTAACCTTGCTTTTACTCCACATGCTAGTAATCTGCTTTGCTCTTTAATAAATACGCGTGAGAGAGTCATCTAGCTGATTTTTCAGGTTCGTTTTTAGGCAGATCTCTCTTAAGACAGAGAGATCTTAAATGAGCTAATATTTAGGGAAGCCAAAAATGTCCTGTCATTTTGTAGCCTTCTCACAGGTGGCCTGAGTGAGGGGACTGTGTTGCATTTGGTCAGAAAGGCCAGGTTCCCAGAATTGGAAAGTGGCACCTGGACTGATTTTAGAATCTTTTGACCAGGGCTTCTCTCTGTAGGAAAGTCTGTGTGGCCATAACAGAAGGATTGTCTGGCCTTCTATAGACCGTTCACTCACATTGTCTTACTCTTCACAGAATCATTTGGAGAAAGGTAGGCTAACACAGAGTGGTGCTGTTTTTAAAGCTTGTGAATTGTATCAAGGCCTTAGAGTACCTAATGCTACATGGAACTTAAAGCCAATATTATAGATGCCAGGATTGGCAATGCCTGTGGCTCTTCGACTAAAGTCTTCTCTTGAGCAGTTTCTATGGGTAACCAAAATAGAGTTGATTTTGGTTTTTTATTAAAACATACACAGTTCGCCATGAGCCCTAGATTCTTTTATTCTTGACAAGCCCTTTTTAATTCTAAGGAGTAAGTTCTTGACCTTACTTGGAACACGTTTAGTTAGTACTTGATGTTACTAACCCATTACTGGAGGAATTTTCATTTCTCAAGATCTATGAATGCTGCATTTTAAATCTGAGTTACTGGTATCATTTGGTGTCAGACTTTAACACCTGCTGATGAAAACTGCCCACAATATTAACATTGTAGGTTATGTTGCTTGGATAACTTAAACCCAGTTAGCTTTCGGGAGACAAAGACCCAGCTTCATGTAATGTAGCTCGTTCCAAAATGTGCCAGGAAAGCAGACTTCCAAATTTCAGTTGTTTTACAAAAGTAGCATTTCCTCCGGGTCATGGGGGAGGCAGTGAATTCTTGCCCCATTGCCAACTCCCTGACACCTACCTTGTCCCCTCCTCCTTCCCCAGGACAAAATAGTT